AAGAACATAAATAAGAACTCCCCTGGTCTCGTGCTGTGGGATATATGGCAAATCGTGGACTAGAAAAAAAAAAAGGAAAAAAAGGGGAAAAAAATAGACAAAATATGGACGAAGAAATTAGTAGCTCCGTAGAGACGTAAATGGCAGAAAAATGGCAAAAAGGTAAGACGCACGTGGCCCTGGAACTAGCCAGAGGTTACCTTATATAAAAGGGCGGGGAAATGGGTGTCAATTGTTAGCGTCGTGAATTGAAACCTTATACGTATAAGGCTATAATCATGACGCTACTGAATTGAACAATATCGTAATAATCCCCATAGATTTGGTGGAAATCGGGGAAAGAACAAAGTGCTCATCTAGGCGGTGTCACCCCTAGCATATGCAACTGGGGAAATGTTGGATGTAGGTGTCTTGCCCGCGCTGCCCGCCGTCGGAGTCGGCACCGAGGATCGCTTGGCTAGAACAGCTACCTTCTTCCGGACAGACGCAAGGCGGCCACGCATACTGGATACAACTGGATCAAGGTGTAAGTTTAGGATAGTTTGGGGTGAACTTGGATAAGACTCACGTTTGACAACGACCTGTCGATCCTCCACCTGCAGCTCGTCCAGAATGACCTTCTCGCCACGTTGCGAATTGCTTTGCCGCTCGATTTTGCTACCGGGCATGGATCGCATTCCATCATCCTCAAGCACAGCTTCAAGCATGCGAATCGCAGTGACATATGTAATCTCACAGTTGGCGAGGTCTTCCCCAGTCAATTCATTGATAGCAGCCGCCCGGCTCATCTCAAGTGCCCGGTCGTACATCAGTCTCTCTGCTGTGACGCCAGGGCTCACCACTACGTCGGCGGTCGAGCTCGAGCCGGCGGTGGAGCCAATAGAATGGTTATCTGGATGGCTAGGGTGATCTGGTGGCAATCGCCGTTGCCCCTCGATGAGCTTCAGGCGCACGAACTCTGCTTTTTCGATGACCTCATTGAACCGACTGCGCACCCATTGCACAACATAGTTGATCCGGGTACCCGCAACTGCGCTCATGCTGTCTTTGGTAGGAGACTCCCCATACACCTCTTCCCGGTTCTTGCGCGACCACCAAGCTCCAGCGATGTCCATTGACTTTGCAAGCAAAGACAAAGCCTTGACATATAGCACCAAAGCTTCCTCGGACAAGGTGACAATAGCATCGACTGTCAAGCCATCGTCGGAATCGGCAGATTCTGGTTCAATGTTTGTGTCCATCGGTCTCGCAGATGGGTCAGTCGATGCGGAAGGTGCTAGCGGGATGAGTTGCTTATATTTGACCTCGGCAAATCCAAAGACAACGTCGCTACGCGTAGCACATTCCTCGATTTCCTGGACTGCCTTGCAATCTTCGTCCCCAGTTGCATTGGGTTTCGAGCCGTCTCCGGTGATCAAAAGACTAGCGTGTACAGGAGGATAGGCGGGGAAAGGATTGTAAGCTAGCGGTGGAGATCGCCCACCTTTGGTGATGGCAAGGGGAGGAGAAAAGCCCATTCCAAACAGACGACCGCTGGCCATGTTGAGTGCTTTTGAGATTGCCGAGGTCGCCGACGTAGGACTCTGCCCGTAACGTCGCTCGTAGGAATGCTGGCGCTGGTGCGTGGAATCTGCCCGCGCCCGACCCGAAACCACCTGCATGGCTTTAGCCGCATTGGCATGCGGAGAAGATGGTGACACTGTAGGTAGACCCTGCGTCGTTGTCCGGCGGCTTCCGGCGCCAGTTTGTCCTGGTCGTGAAAGTCCGCCTTGAAGGCGCGGGCTATGAGCCAGCTCATCTGCAAAGGCGTTAACCTCCACGGCCCGCTTTTCGACCACAACGTAGTCTCTCTCGAATGCCACTTCTTGTGCAGCGCGATCCCGCGCCTCCTGGGCACGGATTGTTGAGTCACTCGCTTTGGGAGAGCCAGCGTAGGTATTCCGATGTCTCTGCCGATCCATAGCCGCGTTAGTTGCGCTGCGATCGGTGAGCTCCTGGCGTCCTGGAGCAGTGGCAAGGCTGACAGGACCAGGCCGTTGAGGTGGTGTACCTCCCGGTTGTTGCTCCTTGGAGATAGCTGGAGCAGGCCGGTCAGCGCTTCCCATACGGCGCATATCCGTAGCGGTCGGCGGCGTTCCTGATTTTGGATGCGTCGCAACGGGTCTTTGACCGGGAGGATATGCAAGTTTGTCTTCGGGCCCAGTATCATAAGGCGATTCTTCAGCCTTTGCAACAAGCTGCCTCGGCCGTGGCGATTGTGGTGGCCCTGGAGCGTCATCGGCCAGCAAGCCAGGAATCGGATCATTTATCACATTGTTGTTGAAGAACTCGGGGAAGTTCAATCGCTCCACTGGGTTCCGTTTCAGAAGACCTCGAATTAGCTTTTTGATGTCGTCTGAGGCGGGGTTATCTTCAGGAAAGCGGATTCGATCTTCCCCCTTCTCAATCTTCCGCAGCAACTCGACGTGATTTGTGGCCCGGAATGGGGGTCGGCCCACCACCATCTCATAGAGCACAGTACCTACCGACCACAAGTCGGCCTTGGCATCATACTTCTCATACCGAAGAATCTCGGGTGCCATGTACAGTGGAGATCCACAAAGGGTCTCTGCAAGTGAAGTGGCGGGTAGAGATCGAGCGAAGCCGAAATCTGCGATTTTGAGCATGGGGAGGGATTCGAGCCCCGTCGTGGGTTCGTAAGAGTCATCGCTGCCTTTGTAGGGCATCACCTGAGCATGTCCACTTCGATATGACGAAGGCGAGGGACACAACAAAAGGTTCTGTGGTTTGATATCTCGATGAATGAGGTTTCGGTCACGAAGGAATTTCAGTGCACTTGACAGCTGTTTGAGGAAGTGGCGAGTAACCACCTCATTGAGCGAGCCGCCGGGTGGATTTGGATATTTTGCAATCATATCCCGAGTGTATTTATGTGATCCAAGAGTATCCCGGCGCTTGATAAACAACGACAGATCCCCCAGCGCACAGTACTCCATAACCAAGTGAATATGAGATGTTGATTCATGGCAGTCGATCAGGGCCACGATATGTGGGTGGTGGAGGCCCTTCAGTATATCGATCTCGGACGAAAGGTTTTCTTTGAGCTTTTTGTTAAGCTTCGACAAGTTCACGGACTTGATCGCTACATAGGTTTTCGATTTCTGTATGATAGGGATCGATTAGCATCCATCGCTCGACATACTGAAGATAAGGAACGACTCACTGTATGAACACCTTGATAGACCGTCGCGAAACTACCTCGCCCGATCTCATCGAGCCGCGTATAGCGACCGATGGACATTTCTGGACGGGGGGCCTCGCGTGACCTCCTTGAATGTTGAGACGCCATAACGGCGGGGCACGCCAATGCCTGTTCCGTCTCTGGTAGACTCGCGCTGGGGGAAATAAGGATCGAGTCACACCCCAGCAACCACAACTACCTCAGCAGCAGCAATGAAAACGGTCGACTCGAGAGGCCCATCAGGGGAGCTATAGAAAGGATGACGCTGCCTCCGGGAAGCCTGGAAGGATGAGGAACCGCCGGGAGAATGGGTCTGGGAAGGTACTGTAAATGGGTGCCGTGGAACGAGACCGGTGAGCTCGGGTAGATTATAAGGGATGATGTCGATGTAGATGATGTTTAAGGAAGCAAACACTAAGATCCGATCCAAAACACTTAGAGCGGTGAGAGGTATGATGCAGAATAGCCAAAATTGAGTGGGGTTTGAAGATTCGAATATAATATGGAGTGATATGGAGTGAACCAAAGATCTAAGGAGGCAAAAATGACAGTCCTCATGAAAGAGCAAGATGATGTGATGGCGGAAGCGGGAAGAGGACCCCAAGACCCAAGGATACTCCACGATTGGGGGGGTGTGACCCAACGATAACGAGTGACAAGCTGCGATGATCGCCTAAGGCGGTCAGAAGGGCGGAGATGATCTAGAGTTCTGATAAGATGAAGAAACGTATGGAGAAGACTAAAGAAAATGAGAGATGAGAGACAAATAATAGGAAAAATGAAGAAAGGCTCGAAAATATAAGAAATATAGGATACAACCCTCTTTTAAGACATTAAGTACCTGCGCAAAAGAACCTTGGGAGTCCAAATCGCAGAGCTCTAGGTCATGTGCTTATCGATTAGATAAGGCCGAGATCGGCAAGGCAGATCTCCAGGTATTGTCTGTTACAACTTGTAAGGTTGTGGGAAAGGAAGCGTACATATTCTGTGGAGTTAGAATTGAATATATAGTGTCTAGGCTCTGTCAAGGCTCCTCTATATATGTCTTTCCCAATATTACTACGTCTGCCTGTAAGTATTTCCGAGTTGCAAGGTGAATGATCACAAAACATGATGAAACTGTACGGTGACGGAAGCTTATCTGCAGCCTATGACTCCCAGTCATGGCGCATCGGTTGGTCGAATTGAGAAGAAAGGGGGAAGCTAACGCAAGGCAGATATGCAATAACACGCTAGTACAGGCATCCAAAAACGGTCTCTAGTTGAGTAGTCGAGGTCGATCTATACATCCTCGGGCTATGTACCCCACCATACTATACAAATTCCGCAGGGATATGATAGGCAGATAATCACACGCAAATCTCCGAGCAAAAAGAAAAGAAAAATAGAAAAAATAGAAAAGAAAAAAAGGGGGAAGAAATAAAAAGCAAACAATTCAGCACATCTATACACATCAACGTGGCAAATCAAACGCCAAGACCCCGCACCAGCAGCCATAACACCACTGGGACCACGACGTTGTCATTACAGCCAGTAAGGATCGCCTCGGTGGCGCTGGTTCCGGCTGCCGCCAGAACCGCCTTGAGCAAAGTCCAGGCCCAGAAGTGTGCGGAGAAAGCTGTCCCTTCGGCTGATTCGACTCCTGACACGGGCCAACCACCGAGCACCAACCAGGCACGAACGGCGATCAGCCCGCAGGTCACTGCTGCGACAAAAGCGACGCTGCCTTCCAGTGATTTGCCGCCACCCCAGAACCATTTCAGTCGACCGTACCGCCGGCCAACGAGGATGCGGCCGCGTCGCCCATGCCAACACAAATAACTCCGCTGGCCATGCTCACATCTCGTAACGGGATCTCCCAACCAGCCCAGGGGCCCAGGCCGGTCCGAGGAAGATCGGAAAGTGACAGCCATAGGGGTATCGAGCATCCAATTAACAAGAATATATGTGAGACGATTACCGGGCCACGGTGATCACGGCCGTCAACGTACGGGGTCAGGAAAGAGGTGAGTGGCCGCGAAATTGGAGGTAGTTGAGACGCGCGGAACAGGTCCAATAGAAGGAAGATGGAGAGGACCAAGGCGAGCGCCATGGCGCAGAAGGCTGGATCCACAAATATAGCGGGAAGGAACATAACCACCATCATGCCGTGGAAGATCTTGCGGCGCGTATCGACCTCGGCAACAGAGCTGAGTTTGATCACAATAGCCAGGCCTGTCAGCAGTACCAACACGCAGTAGCCACTGAGTAGTAGACGAGTGATGGCGGCACCAAAAGTAGTCTGTCGAATATGTTCGACTGATCCGAGGAAGCAGGAGGCACTCAAAATATCCGCATCGGGGCGAGGTGGCAGTTCAATCCAGTACTCGAGGTTCAACATAAGCACCCAAAAGCGAACTCTCGAGAAATTTCCAAACAAGTAGCCTATGGCCCAGCCAAACGGATCCTGGCCTTGCAGTGCGTGCTCTGCCACGTACTTTCGGATAGGTCCAAGGATGATAATCAGGCACAAAACATAGACGTAGAAGGCGTAAAGCCATTTGCGGACCTGTGCCTGGGCTGAAGTGAGCGAGAGGAAGGCGGCCAAGCCAGGACCCATCATTTTCTTCCGTCTACCACCAGGGGTAGTGCGGACACGTTCCTCTCGAACAACTTCATCGAACGTAGATATGGTATGGCGCCGTCGATGCACAACGCGAGCATGCTCCTCGAAAATCTCTTCCGTCGTGATCTTGTCTACTGCAGATACCGGCTCTGCCGCCGGGTGGGAAGAGCCATTCTCCTGCATTGTCTTCGTCTTGCGCGGCCTTGAAAACGGGAACCCATTTGGCCCATCACTGTCTCGACGAAGCACCGTCCGATGGAACGTGTCCCGTTCTACTCAACTTCTCACAAACTCGATGGTCCACCATGTTCAAGAATTTGCGGAGAGATTTCGAGCCATGCGGGGCACGGCGGAATTTCCAGCTAGGGATTCTGGCTAAAGAAACCTCCCAACGCAGTATGTGTCGACAAGAAGCAAACAAACACATGCCTCCAAGCCATAACAAGGCTTTGAGTATCTCCATCTGGGGAGAGGCCGCAAACAAGTACAAGTTGATCAAAGCAGTTGTCAAAAGCTGCAGCTCAGCGGGAAGAATGCTGGTCGTCAACAAAAAGTCTAAAGTGGGTATCAACGCTTGATGCAAAGGGAAAAGGAGTATTAGAGATTCCGCGTCGAGCCCGCGAAGCGTCAGCGGCTTGGGCACCGTATGGTCCAAGGAGAAATGCTCGGCAACAAGAATCGGAATCATAGAGATCATCCAATGGAGACCATTTAAATCATTAGTCCGGTGCTGAAACGGTATAACAGGCGATGGTAAAGAGGACAAGCTGAGGACAATATTAGGCATGATAAGTGGCGGGAGATGGTTGGAGAGCGACAACGAAACAAAGATGGGGATAAGAATCGGATAGAGAAGGGGAGCTGGATCGAAGCTCGAGGGTATTGAGAAGTATGTCCGTTTCGTAGACCAGACGCGCCATATGCGCCAGCTTCGGCCCTGTGATGCACGAACGACGAGCGGATAGGCGGCATAGAGACCCAAGACCACGAGGCCATGAGCAGCAATCTCTGCAAATCAATTAGCGAATTCTATTTTCTTGGTGGCAATGTCAGTTTCACACATACCCTTTCGCCATTCCCAAGCCAAAGAGCGCGCCCCGTCTTGATACAAGACCACACCACCCACAGATAGCAGAAGCGCGGCCTCCAACAACCGACGGAGGACCTCCACCCGTCTCTGCCGTCTGAACCTCAGTCTCTCCTCAAAGGCCTCTTCTTCGAGTTCCTCCTCTGAGCTCCGTCGCGATGTCCGCAACATAGGCCGCACAAATGACGGCCAAGGTTGCAAGCTCGGCAGCCAGTCATCGAGGTCAGTGGGACCGACTCCGCCAGATCGTAGGCCTTTTCGAGGGCGGAGCGGTGGGGCAGGTAATCCCCTTAGGATACCGGTGCTTTCATCGTCTGCCTCTGTGCCGCTGTCGCTGGTTGTTCGCGAGGACCTGGAGTAGGAGGAGAGCGGGTGGAGACGGTCGCCTTGTTCGGAGGGAGTGCATGATCCGAGGCGCCGGCTTCTGTGGTATGGATGGGGCGATCGATTGAATAATCGAAGGTCTTCGGCGAACGCTTCGGGGCTTAAAGGTGTGCTGATGCGAGGCGTCGCTTCTTGTTCTTCTTTCCACGGCGAACTCATGGCGCCATGCTTATGTCGATGAGTACGTCATGTCTCGGTGGGATAGCGGTGCACAGTGTATTAGGAGGATAGGAGACACCTGGGAAGAGATCAAGGTACCTGACAATTTAGTCCAGTTCGTGTTCGATGTCGGAAATATTGAGAACGTGGCAGAGGCAGAATGACACTGTTATCTTTCCTGAATGCGGAAGGGATTTTGCCTATCACATGCGAGCGAACAGTGCGCCGTACATCGATCATCCCGTGGTCGGTACGGAGTATGACATCGACATTCACCGATCTCCTGATCTGTAAATATTATTTCCTTTGATCTTTGGTCAAATCGAGTGACTTTATTCTTTGTTAAATAGTTCCTAACTAAGCTGCTGCAGGACCACACCTGCACTCAACCTTCGACCTTCTCGCCCCCATACTGATCTGCACGGCACAACCTGTACTGGCCACAAGGGTTCAGGCACTGGGTATGTGGTATATAACACAGCCTGAGACAGACTGGAATCTCGACGGTAGGCCTCATTCACTGATCTCAATATTTGCTTCAATGTCTCGTCCGACGAACCCGCGTCGATCTCGATATTTGTATACTTGTATTGATTGTCCATGGTGGTGGAAGATGTCCCCCTTTAATGTCCAGCTTGACCTGCTCACACCGGCCTCCCAGACCTTGCCATTCAATATCACTTCCTCGTGGCAGTTCGTCCACTTGGACAGCCAAGAAGGGTGGAATGGATGTGTGAGACACAACAAGAGCAGTAAACTGGGGCAGACTGGGCACAGGGGCATCAGTCAACTCCTCTGTGCGGCGACCATATTTGATATCCCACGCATCCAGCTGTGGTCCATCGTCATCATCCTCATCTTCATTGTCAGGCAAAGCATGCATTCTTTCCCAAAGGCGCCATGCCACTTGCGCCTGAGTATTGGCGTGTTCTCCACGCGCCAAGAAGGCTACCGCACCCAGCCACCAGTTTACCTGCATGGCTTCACCAATTCTCCAGAGGTGTTGGAGGGCTAGTACAGCTCGAAGACGGTAGTTCTCGACCCATGAACCTGGTCCCTCCACCTGCGCCAAGTCCATAGAACCAGGATCTAGAGGAATCTGGCCAGCAATGTACACGAGTCTGCTAGCATTCTGCAGCGGAACTGACAACGCTTGAGAATATGGTCCAATATTTGCGGGAGCCCAGTACGACCTGGATTGAACATGCAGACCCTGGCGCCGGTCCCTCGCACCCAGGTCAACCACGAATGTGACCATCACCTTGACATTGGACGGGAGTCGGTCTCCACATGCCACTGTAACTCGCGCGGGCGGATTGGGCTTCTTGAATAACGAGACGTAGATATCATTCATTGACCCAAAGTCGGCCATTGAATTTAGCAGCACCGTAGCGAAAACAATATCGTCTGTTGATCGTGAACCCGACTTGGGGTGGGAAAAGGATTTGAACACTTTCTGAACCTTGTGTGCAATCGCTTCCATCTGCTCTCCAGCCCCAGGACCAGCCTCAGGCGCAACAATATTCGAAATAGTCCACGTAGAACCAGACAGCCTGTGCACGGGCTCACACACAGGCCAATCCGGTGACCGAGCGGTACTCGTCATCGCCCGTGATTTCGAATCGTCACGCGACTCAGAAAAATCCAATGCGGAACCCAACACACCCTCGAAAACTGCATCTAAAAGTCCTGGCCTCCTAATATCACTCGGTGCAATCCCATCGCCAATCTCCCAGGCGCTCTTAGGCGTACACCTTGCACCCCTCAACCTAACAAACGCAACACCCCCTTCCCCAGCCTTCTCCTCCCGACTACCAACCTCAATCCTCTGTTTCCATAAGAAACCAGGCCCATCCAGCGCAAGCGTCTCATACTCCCCACCCTCACCCAACACCGCACCACGAATATCTTCTGCAGCTGCAAACCGACTCATAGCCTTAACGAGACACCTTCGCATCATACGGCCGCCACTCCCTGCACCAGACACATTCTCCCACAGGAAACCCTCGTCCAGACCGCCGGAGGCGACCTTGATAATACGGGCATCGCATCGGGCAGCTGCCATATCCTCCAAGAGCCCTGCCTGACGTATTGCCAGAGTATCAGCCGATCTGGCCGGCGGCGCAGGGAGAGACGGATACATCCATAGCCAAGCGAGGGGTACGAGGCCCAGACGATTAGCGACGTTCTCGATTCGCGTGCGCTGGTATGTAGAAAGGATGGCGCCTGCCGAGACGGCGTTTGCTTCTGGATGGGCCTTTTTTATGCGTTGGAGGAGCGGGACGAGGGATTCGGTCTCGTCTTTCTCGGATGGTTTTGTTCCGTAGATGCGGGACGTGTCGACCGCGCCGCCTGTGATGGGTTGGCGGTAGAGGGGGATTTGGAGGGCTGTTTCGTAGAGAGGGATTATGTTGTGGCCGATTGTTTGGTACATGAAGCTGTCGATGTCGTCTTCTTCGTCATGTCTGGGGTGTTTTGGGTTTGTGCTGGTCTTGTTCTGCGGTTCTGGGTAGAGGTTGGCTAATGCGACCACTTTGTGGCCGTTGCGGATGCAGTGGAGAATCGAGTAGAGGGAGTCTTTTCCGCCAGAGATTAGGGCAATCACGTTGAGCCCTGGGGCTGAGGGTTGTGCTGCAGACATGACAACTTTATGCCCTCTGGAGTCCAGGGTCTCTTTTTTTTGGCAGATTTGTTGGATGTTGCTGGGTGCGGGTGATGGGGGGGGTACTTTTTGCAGTCCCCACCTTTGCCCGGGTGAGTTTCCAAGGTTATCGATAACCGATAGAGCGATAAGATCCCGAGGTCACGGGAAATTTAAATATTTCATACATCAACCTTGGAAAGTCTATCATAGATTATGCATGACTTATTTGTCGAGTTGGATGACTGGAGGTAGAAATCAGTAGATAGAAGGCCAAACGCCCTAACTATTACGTTGCTTTACTCTTACTATTTACCAGGTCTACCAGGAAAGAGTGTAATAAGATTATGCTTGTAATTTGATGCATGTAAATCAACATCTAGAGATGTGACCTAGAACCAACACAAAGGGCAATGCAATACAAGAAGAGGGGTATGGAGTGATGGGGAGAGAAAATGGGGGTCAATTAACTTATACACGAATGTGACCAGCACAAAGAAGCAGGTAAAAAGCAGAAAAAAAGAAGAAGAAAAGACAAAAAAATTATATCGAATAGGCACAACAAGCACGAACGAAACGGTAGAAGGAGAAAAGAGAAAAAAGAAAAGGTTGAAAAAAAAGTCACAAAAAGCGAAGTAAACAGGGAGTACACGAAGGGAATACCCAAAGGTTTAAAGTGTGAGGCACATTGCTCACGCCGAATGTGCTGGTCCAGGAGATATTGGAGAGAACAAGTGAAACAAAAGGAAAAAGGAAAAAAAGAGAAAAACAAGGTGACAAAGGAAATAATTTCACCCAGCACTGCCAAAGACAAATGCCATCATTCGCTTTATATGTCGTTTTTTTTTTCTCCCTGGACTCTTCTGCGCCCATGTGCCTTCACCAAATGAACCGTTCGAGGCAATCCCAGCCTGTGTATGTGTCCCCGTGCGAGATGTCAAAACGCTGGAAATAAAAAGGGAACCCAATTTGCTGTGCACCGATGATCCAGTTTCCGACACCAGTATAAATGCCCGGACGCCAAACCCAATCAAGACCAATGTGGTCGAGCTTCCAAAGACTCCGACCGAAGAATGTATGTATTATATATGCAGTAGGAAGTCTCTTGGTCTCGTAAAAGAAAAATCATGAAACGCAAAGTTCCTTAGGACAAGTCACGCTTGCGCTTCTTTGTCGCTCGGCGATCCACAGAGGTAGAACCGGTGACTTCGGTCGACCGGGCAGCCTCGTACATGACTTGGCCAAGGGCACCAGCGTCATGTTGATCATCGAAGGAGACAGAACCAGCATCGCTTGCATCGAGAACTCCCATGACAATGGAGCCACCACCGTGAGTACGGGCATGCTGAGCGAGGTTGTCACTGCGGGAGAACTTCTTGCCGCACTCGTTGCACTCAAATGGCTTGTCCTGGGTGTGGAGAGAGCGGTAGTGGCGCTTGAGGTGTTCCTGACGACGGAAGCGACGGGAGCACAGAGTGCAGACGAAGGTCTTAGAGGGGTCCTCAGTCAAAGACTGCTTGCGGCCCCGGCGGTTGACCGAGATGGGAGCAGACTCAGAGTCATCAACTGATCCATCATCAGAGCAGCAGTCGCCAGAGGACTCGCAGGCGGCCAGCGCCTTTGCTTCAGCCGCCTCGTCAGCAGCGATCTTGCGGGACTTGCGGTTGCTACGCTTCTTGGTCTTGGGCTCCTCGACAGGTTCCTCCTCGGCCTCAGCCTGCGGCTGGGCAGTCTGGGTCCACTCGAAGGAAGGCAAACCATTAGGCATGAAAGACTCTGAGTCATCGGAGTCTTCGAGGCTGTGCTCGCTCAGGAATCCATCATCCTCTACCGGGTAGGCGTGCACACGCTGGCGCTTGCCACCCATGTAGACGGCATTTGCAGCAGGGTGGAATTCCACCAGGCGGTTCAACTCATCATCAGAATCAAGGTCTGAGAAGCTGTCAAAAGTGGGCAGCGAGCTCAGAGGGTCCTGGGTCGAGGAGCTGAAAGAAGGAGATGGGTTCTCGTTGACGGGAAGCGTCACAGACGCACTGCCAACAACGGCGCGCGGCTCCTCCTCCTCGCATGAAAGATTCGGTAGAGGAGGGAGATCCTGTGCGTGAACATTGACACAGGGTTCAACGGTGAGCTGACGCGGATCGCAGAAAGACTGGCTTGACCCAAGAGTCTGGGAGCCAAGAATGTCGGTGGGCACGGGTGAGGGGGAGGGGGAAAGCGAGGGGCAGGATGTTGCAGACAGAAGGTCTGAGCCGTGGATGTGAGTAACAGAAGGCGGGTGAATGAAGACTGCATAATAATTAGCCTTTCGCCCTTGCTTCCCAATACCCACATTTATCAAAGTGTGATCTATAAAAACTTACCAGGCGTCATCGGAGGCGAATCGGAACGCGCCCACTCCGGAGTGGCCAGGATTTCCTGGTGGACATCGGTCTCGCATCCCTCCTTGACACCCTCCACCTTGTCGAAGGTGAAGAATGTGTCATGAACCGGGGTTGGTAGCGCACCGTGGGCAGACGGGGGGCTGCTGATGGTGCTTCCCGAGGCGGACAGTGGAGGAGTTGAAGGGAAGGAGTACATGTCGTGACCAATAAAGCGAGTGTCCAAGGGCATCAAACCAGGAGATCCCTGCTGCACCATGATGGTGGGCTTCATTTGCGAGGGCTGGGGAGAGGCAATTGGTGTCAAGCTCATGGTAGCTCCCCGGAAGGCATTGGTGGTGGCCATTTGGTGCATGTTCATCATGGGTTGGGGGGAGTAGAGCGGTTGCTCTTGTCCATACTGCATTTGGCCGTAGTACGGGACGTCTGACTGGTAGTGGGCTTGTCTTTGTGTTGAGTCGGGATAGTATGTGAATGGCTGTCCTTGCACCGAGGTTGGTGCCATGGTGTATGTTGAGTCCATTGTGAGATGTGCTGTACCATGGGTTAGAAGTCAACCAAGAAATGTGTATAGATATACATACCTGTATGAGATATGGAAGGCCAATTGAAAGTTTCCCGTATATTAGTAGGATTATAGTTGATTCAAGTCCGAATGAATGAATGGACTAGCAATTAGGTATAGACGATGAATGAGTGTTGTCGAGAAAGGAAGGACAGGTTCTGGGAACCGGGAGACGAAGTACTTGAGGAAGGAGAGTGATATAGAAGAGGAGGATCCCAAATAAATCCAATAGGAAACCCCAAACCCAAAATAGTCAAAATAGTCAAACAAAAAAAAAGATTGGATAGAGAGAGTGTGAGTATAAGAAAAATAGACAGCGGGGAAAATAAAATAAAAAAATAAGAAGAGAGAGAGAATGAGAGAGAGAGGGAAAGATAGCAGGTTGCGGTGGATAAATGAGTGATCTGCTACTATTTTCTACTTGCCGGGTCACTAGTTTAGGTGTGGGCCAGGAACCGGGTGCTTTTTCTTTTTATGAATTTAATTTGTCTCAAGAATTATGATTAAATATAAAAATAAAATATTTAGAATATTAGAATATTGAGAATAATGAGAGTAAGAGGATAGATGGAATTATGGGTATCCCAGTCCGGGGCGGGATTGCGAAAGACACTGCACATCAAAGTGTCCAGTCCCGTCAGAAGCGACCAATCGCATTGATTTAGGAGGGGTTTAGTGAGTGACCTCAGTGAGTGGAGACCTGGGATTGAGTTAAATAATATTTGAATATTTATTTTATATTATAATACATTATAATTCATAAATACATTTTTATTATCCCAAAAAGGTACAGCGGTTTTCGGCCACCCCCCAAAATAAGTATGGTCTCACACCTAGGTACATATATCCCATTAACCATAATATCTTAAACATTTTGACATTCAATAATGCGGAGTTATTCACATTGTGATAACCTTGGAATTCTGATTTTGTAGTTTTAAAAGGCGAAAAAATGGTGGCCCGAGACCTGATCTAAAATTTGAGGTGTGGCCACGAGGTGCACGACCATTGGACTATTTGATGGTGACAGCGACAATCATTTGCTCAATTGGTCTTATCACCGCAATGTCGGACAAATAAGAGGGTTTAAACCCAGAAGGTGTTCTTTTTTTTTTCATTGCTTTTTTAGGGACCAATAGCCCAGAAGAATCAAGGCCCACGCATCCCGTCCGGTACCGCGTACCATGTACCCCAGAGTACGGAGCACCCTAGGTACCTTGTAAAGCTTCTAATTATTTCGAAATTTTACTTAGAATAATCCCTCGAATCCTCCAGGGCTTTTTTCCACAGACGGCAGAGTGATCAACAGGTGGAAACTTAAGAAGGCCAATCAGTTTCCAGTTTGGGCTGCACATGCTAAGTCGCTCAAGACTTGCCGATCAGGCTATCAACGGTGGCAACCACCGTGCAACCATTTGGCTTCGATCGTGAAACGGTCGGCATTGGCTGTACAGTGCTTACTTGCTAATTTCATATGATCCAGGCCGTCCCTCGGTGCGGCCATCACGACGAACCAAAAAAGAGCTGTTAAGCATCAATTGGCCTCAAAGTCATTCATATATGAATTTAAAGATCATCATATGGAGTATAACGTTCGTGGTTCTCAGCTTGGAGTTCGTATGTACGTAGTTTGCCACATGGGTCCTATATTGATAGTAAATAAAACCGCGTTTCTTCCCGATCGCTGCAAGGGCTATGCCATGGCCCATACAAACAAATCTCACATTGTACACGTCAATGGCATCAATATCTCCTCGTAGGCAGAATAAAACATTGAAGTGAGACAAAAAAGAATTACTATGCAATATGCAAGCCCAAAAGGCGAAATTTTAGTTCACTTGTGCGGCCTACTGCAGGAACCAGCCTGTGGGGGGCAAAATCACACAGGCTACATATAACATGCTTATTGGGTACTTGACTATCAGTAAAAGGCAAGGCTCAGCTGCAGTTCTCTTTGAAGCTCAAATTATCGAGAGTTTACTACGTACCGGATGGGTGGTTCCGGGTGCCCTAAGTGCATTAGGTTTATTGGAGAAACTGTCCCCAGACTGTCGAAAGTCTGATCTGGGACATGGTAAAGGCTAATATTTGTGCTTATATTGGCCCAAACTTCAGTGTTGTATGTTAGTGTGAGATACGGAGTACTTGTTTAATAGGTATCACACCTGTTGATGCATCTTATTGGGTCCAGGGTCAAGCTGTGGTCGCTAAGTGATGTGTTCCGATTGCAGGATGATGTGATAGCACTTTTTGTCTCACTGACCTGACCTGTAGATCCGGGGAGAGTGCGCTTAGTATATGTCAGCGCAGTACATGGGCGTCATTATTACTATGACATGTGTTGTCTGTGACCGATCTCATCACAAAGTTGGAAACTTGGACAGGCAGATGCATAATCCGATACATCTAACACAGCCCAATGACATACAGCATGTGGCCACGCAAGCAAGGTCCAGTTCTGTTCTTACCAGGTGGCACAATTCTGTACATTACAAATGAACTACTCTGTACGGAGTACCAAAATCATTATCTTCCTAATTTTCCAAATCTTCCAAATCTCCGAAATCCTTAATCTCCAAGGTCCCCTTTTCGAGTCCAGAACGAAAACGAAAAGTATCCCGGCACTTCATGAATGTCGGGGACCCGGACTATCTCCTGTGTAATTGGCCGCTTCTAAAGATAGCGCGCCCCTCTAATTGGCTACTAATCCGTTCGCAGGCAAAGCGTCGGCGCCAGTGGGGACTTGTCTTTATCCGCAACCAATAAGAAACATATAACCCACGCCAATGTGGACTTGGGGAAATTGGGAGAGTCGCTGATAGATATTCATTACCGTTCCACTCAACATAGCCACAGTGAAGGACTGTGTCCTCCGTACGAGTACGGAGAACACACTAGAGATTCCCAGTTCTCTGGGCCTCGAGTATTTCCTTGCTGGGTTTAGGTACTTCCCGTGGATATGGAAAGGGTCATGCATGGAAGGCTGTCAGGTCCTTCTTCGAGAAATCCAAATGTCCACTTTCTACTCCGTAATCTTCCAAGGTTGGAGCTAATTCAACCCCCAGGCCAGTTTTTTAATTATGTGAGCTTACTAACTCATTACTAACTCAGCTCAAAAATTCGTCCTGGTTTTGCGACTATGTAACTATGTAACTAGCTACCTAGGTATGTATGTGCTTTCCGATGGCCATCCTTGCCGCCACGGTTGTCGCACAGACGAACCGACTTTTTTGCTTTTGTGAAGCCCACGGGCTCATTATGAACATTTAGAGAACAATGGCGGGAAACCAGAAGCCGGAAGCCCAAAGCTACTCCGTAGGCGCTATTGAATTGAAGTCCACATTTTCCTGATCGTCAGGAATACTCCAGAGCTCCAGCAGCTCCAAGTTCAGGACCCTATCAGAGAGTTTCGACCGAGAAAGGTTCGGGAAAAAAAAAATCAGGGCTTCACACGGGATAATACAAGCTACTTCCAAACCACTTCTACCAACGGCCCATCTAGCCTCGACACCAGCTCTTAGCAAGAGTGGAGAAGACGGAGATGGAGGCGGGCGGGCAGTGCCTAGTTTCCAACTAAAGGCCGCGGAAGGCCCTCTAGGGAAGCCGAACCCCCCAAGTGGCTCTCTAATGGAGACTCGAGTGGGTAGAGTGTACGGAGCACGATTTACGGTGTGCACTCTTCTTTGTCGAAAGAAAAAGCAAAAAGAAAAAAGCAAAACAAGAAGGCAACTTAGTTAAAGTTGGTCGACTAATGCCAATACCAAGTCAATGGGCTAGCAATGATCGCAGAACCGACCGTGCGATTTGGAAGAGAGAAAACCGTACCTGGTCTGGCAGATGGGCACCTTCCCAGTTCCCCGACGAATCATGCTCGCCTGGCGGTTAACTATGGGGATGTCTGTGAGAGCTCCCGTCTGCGATGCGCGAAACCGTTTGGCGATCAGCATGCCTGTATCCGAGTTTAAGCCCTGTCATCAGAAGTCGACCAGTCTATCTGTCATGGTTAAACCCCAGACGATATATGCACAGCATGGAATTAGTCTTTCCCCGGGGGTCGAGACCGAGAAAGCCCGCAGCAAGGGTTCAAATTTGCATATCGCGATAGGTACGGGAGTAATGTGCCGTTGGGATCTTCCATGCATCAGTGGGTTAGAGCAAAACGTCCCTGGTCCACCAGGGATTCGCGCATGTTCTACACATCCAAACCCACAATTTGCAATTTGCTATCCACAAGGCAAAGAGAATAGAATTTCGCAAACGCAGGTGTCAACGCCACCAGGATTCGAGGTGGGTTTGGATACATCAGACTATATGAGACTTAATATTTCGCAAAGTGTCACAAAGAGATGTGGATAGCAGATCCGCAAGGAATACACGGCCCTCTGTTCTGCGCTTGCGTCTCTGTCAACGGTTCTTGGCAGAGGACTTGCAGGGTCCAGTTCGCCTTCGACTAGGACTATTCTAGGTCATTCACATGGGACCACCGAGGCTTCAGATAAAGGCCAAAGAAAAAAGAATTCACTGTGTGGAGTGCACCACTCACTATTCCGTACTCCGTGGCGACAACGCACACACATCGTACGGTGTGGGTTGTTAAGTAAAGAATTGAAAGAGTCGGATCCTCAATCACGCCATTAAGAAGGGGAAAAAAAGGCGATTTTCTTGGAAGTCCCCATTCTTATCATGCTATACCTCGGGAGGGTCCCCAATAACGGGCAGACCCAGCCATGCAGACCGACTATGTTACTCCCATATCTCTACTCCGTACCGCTAGAGGAATTGGTTATTAAAGCCCGAAACCAACGCGGGTACCGGCGTCGGACCGCTCGAAATTACAAGCACTCTAAAGTGGACAAGAACCATTCCAATTCCAGTTTCCCAGAACGCAAGGACCCCAGATCATCGCCGTTGGCCACTTGACACCACACATGAAGGAATTAAGCCATGACGCCGCAAGA